TAAATATAGGAAAATAAACAAATGACACAATATTATTGAGATTATCAGAAATTATCAGAAATTAGCCCTCCAATCAAACATGACATCTCCAAAAAAATTGTCTATTGCCGATTTAAAACCGCATAGAGAGGATGAATTTACAGCAGCTGAGGGCAATTTGTTCCAATCATCAACTGATCTGTTAGAAAAGAAATACTTCCTACTGTCTTTGTGGCAAGCACCTGTAGTTAACTTCAGATTGTGACCTCGAGTTCGATCATAACAAGAGAACATTACCCTAGGAATGATATCCTCCATAAATTCCCCATGGATTATTCTATACAGTAATATGAGATCAGCTCTACGGCGCCTGTAGGCAAGAGAGGGCAAATTAAGTTTCTTTAATCTATTTTCATATGGAAGTTCCTTGCAAGAATTTACTGTTCTCGTAGCTCTTCTCTGAACCTTTTCAATTTCATCTATCAAACCAATTCTATAAGGATGCCATGCTTGTACGCCGTACTCTAGGTGCGAACAAACCAATGACTTAAACAAGGTTACAAATGCTGCCTCGGAAAGGTGTTTGAAATTTCTGGCAATAATTCCAAGCATACTATTTGCTTTATGAACTACCTTTAGCTCATGATTTTTAAACTTCAACTTGTTGTCAATAATAACCCCCAGATCAAATACTTCCTCAACCTCAGGTAACTGAAACGTCAAACGATCATCGTCTAGTATAGTAAATGGCGGGCATGGTTTATTCGATCCTATTCTTAGGAGCTGACATTTGTTTGAATTCAACTTCAACCTCCAAGTTTTAAACCAATTCATCATGTTCACAAAATCTTTCAAAAAATTTATTTTATCTTCCTCACACTTTATTACTTTAAATAATTTTGAGTCATCAACGAAAAGGAACATACTATCACAAATGGAAGAAACGTCATTAATATAGATGAGAAACAGCAGAGGACTTAGAACACCACCCTGAGGGACTCCACTCAAGACAGGTCTTGGTTTCGATAAAGTGTTGTTTAACTTGACTTGAAACACCCTGCCCTGAAGATATTTATCAATCCACTTTACTATCTTATGATTCACACCATACTGTTCAAGCTTGAACAACAAACGACTATGGGATACTTTATCGAACGCCTTCTCGAGGTCCAAATACGCCACACAAACCTCGTAACCACGATCTACTCCTTCAGTCACCACGTACGTCCAAAAATTTCAAAAGATTCAAAACCGTTGAACGACCTGGGATGAAGCCAAATTGATTACTTGAAAACAAATTATTTTTCAGAAAATAATCCATAATGTGATCTTTTATTATTATTTTATTATTTTATTATTATTATTTTATGTGTGTTTAGACTTGTGTGTGGGTATGTGTGTGTGTGTTTTTTGTGTGTGCGTGCGTGTGTGTGGTGTTGTGGTGTTTGTATATTTGTTTTGCATGACAGCTAGTACGTTTTTGTTTGTTTGTTTGTTTGTTTGTTTGTTTGTTTGTTTGTACCTATGTTTGTATGGTTTTTGGATGTCTGTTAGCTTGTATGTTCAACAGGTCTACAACTTCTACTACTGCTGCTAGTACTACTGCTGCTGCTACTGCTACTACTATTAATATTACTACTACTACTACTACTACTACTACTACTACTACTATATTCTCTGCGGTTACTAACTCACGTAACTTAACACAATAGGACGACTTACTTCCTTGTTACATTCATTAATCTTTGTCACGTTTTTACGCTTTGTACCGTCATATCATTCATTACTACTACTACTGCTGCTGCTACCACTGCTACTGCTGCTACCACTGCTGCTGCTGCAGCTACTACTGCTGCTATTATTATTATTATTATTCTCCTGTGCTTTTGGTCAAATAAATTATTTTTCAATTCAATTCAATTTAATTATTATTATCATTATTATTATCATTATTATTATCATTATTATTATTATTATTATTACCACTACTACTGCTACTGTTACTACTACTACTTGTATTACTTCATATCCTGCTTTTCTGCCTCTACCATTAATAAACCTGCAACTATAACTAAAACTACCATTATTACTAATAGTAGTAATAAAATTAGTAGTAGTAGTAGTAGTTGTAGTAGTAGTAGTAGTAGTAGTAGCAGGAGTAGTAGTAGTGGTAATAGTTTTTTCATATAATTCTTATTGTAATCTTATTCCGAGTTTTATTGTACCCGAATCACTCAGCCATATTTTGTTTTGCAAACATTCACACAGACACACTTAGTTCGTGCAAACACTTCACGCACACTCGAACACACACACACACTCACACACACATGCATATCGTACACACACACAGACACTTCACGTACATTTTCAAATCTAACAAATATATACACACAATTCTTACAACAAACACTCCACAAGCAAACACAATCCACACACACACACACTTACACATTTTCTTCAGTACACACAAACACACACACAAAATACACACATTTTATATTACATACATTTCAGCACAATTTTTATATAAATATTACACTGTGACTCATCGACATACTATTGACACATACAATCCTCATTTAATACACACAAATATACACACTGTTCTTAAACATACTAGATACACACCACCCACACACACACACACACACACACACACACACACACATACACATGCATACACACACACACATACACACACATACATACATACACACATACAGACATACATACACAAACATACACGAAAAAAAGGACTATTGCGCGCTCAAACTTATCAAGGAACAAACAGAATTATTAAATACACGAGTTTTATAGATGGTTTTAATGGTATCACGATATGAAGTTGTGGATAGTATGTAGTATCATGTTATGTTACGTTGTATCAATTTCGTTGGGTATTATGATACAGGCACACCACATCCATAAACATTTTGATATGTTAATCAGGGTCGGATTTGAATGATGGTTGGATATTTACCAGGAGACTCTAAAAAAAATAATGTAAAAAAATTTCCTTTCTTTGAAACATGTACTTGCTTGCGTTTTAGGCCTTAGCACATGTTATAAACATTGATTTTATTTGGAAACTTTGGACAAAAGTGGAAAGAACCAGAAGAAAAAGTCACCAACATTACAAAAAAATACATTCGATGCTTTTTTAATTTTAAAAATAAAAATAATAAAAATCGCTTGGGGACTCCGCACCTCTAAATTCGACCCTGTAGTCATGGTACGGGGGTCGGATTTAGAGGGACGGATACGTCACTTACCTTGTTAAATAGATTCCGTAAGACTCGCTTGGAAAATTATTTCTATTTGAATCGTCGAAGCAAGATGGCTGAGAGTAATTGAAGTGTTTCGGTACTTTCAAACACCTGGCTCTGCTATTAATGGTATCGTTCACAATCACCGTGGTGTTGCCTAAGGTCTGGGTCTCCTTGTGGTAGCTGGTGTAGTTGAAACACCAGAGGTATGGGTAGGTACTTTTGGAAATTATTTTTTCGTAACTGAACGATTCATTGCCAGGTAGGCTAGTGAGGATGTTTGAAGCCATAGGTAAGGATAAGTTGTGTTCGCTGTTCATTTCCGTTATGTAGGCCAGACGTTCGTTCATCCATTCAGTATGTTCTTCATCCATGAACTCAGAAAGTGAAGGCAGCTGAGTGGTTGGTTGGATGGATGGGTGGGTGAATGGGTGGTTGAATGGATGGGTGGATGGGTGGGTGGATGGGTGGGTGGATGGTGGGTGGATAGATGGGTAGATGAATGGGTGGACGGATGAATTGATAGGGAATAGCAATTTCAACTGACGGTGTGTTTGGTCGAAAAGCGAATAAATTATTAAATTAATGATTAAATATAAAATTAAAGAGAAAAAATTGATAAAAATCTTTAAAATAATTAAGATGAATAAAATGATTCTTAAAAAATTAAATAAATTCTTAACTAAAATGATCTATTAAAAAAAAATTAATATCGTACAGATGAATAATATTATGATTAGCGATAAACAAAAACATAAAAGTAGTTCAGCATATAAATATGCAAACAAACAAGCAGACAAACAAACAAGCAGACAAACAAACAAAAAAAACAAAACATCACAAACCCTTCTGTCACTTAAAAACTCTTTGGTCGGGGCAGG